TGCTGGACACTCCCACATGGCCAACTATGGTTCGAGTCCCGAACTTGGTGGCTTGCTTTCTCACTTTCTCTCTCTGTCTCTCTGGTCAAAATTTAAAAAAATAAATAACTGAATGAAAAATAAAATTCAAAATAAATAATTCTAAAGAAAAAAGCAAACTTCTAAAAAGAATGATAATTTCACATTTCCAGAATTAAATTCACTGTCTCTCTTCTCTCATCCTGTCCTTGGTCTCCTCTATCTTGGAAGTACAAGCCACCCACCCAAGATTCCAGCTCAGACCTAGGCCCCTCTGGGTATGCAATCCATCTCTGAGTTTGGTCACATGTCATCTCCTCCATCTGCCTCACGTCCCCCTCCTTCTTCTGTAGCCCACTGCCCTTTCGCTTGCATGGGGCCCTGACTGCCAATATGTCCTCTTCAGCCTTCCTGCCGCCCTTTGAAATTCTCCCCTGGTGTCCTGGAGAGCAAAGCTGAAGGCTTGAAGGGGCCCTCATGCTCCACCTCCTGCCTCCCACCTACCTCAGCCCCCCAGGTATGGAGGTCAGGGCTCCTCACACAGCCCCTTTTCTACCACTTTCCAAAGCTTTTGCCAATAGGTATTTAGTGAATAGAGAGACGAATTTGCTCCCCAGCCATTAAGATACCTACTTTAAAAGTTGCATTTAAAAATACCAGATTTGGGGCCAGCAGGTGGCATGGTGGTTAAGGTGCTGATGATGATCAACCACGTGGCTGATTCTGTAGCTCCAATCCTGGACCTGGTGACCTGAAGGACACTTAGGGCGTGTGTGCATGCATGCCCAAAATCACAAGAAGGGAATGGCAGAGAGGGAACTGTGGTGTGGCCACCCCCCTGGGAGGTGATTTCTCACTTTCTCTCTCTGTCTCTCTCTCTTCCTGTAAGTGCACACAGTCTATAGCAAAAGTCTAATAAAATAAAGTAAATTAAAATTTAAAATAATACCAGGTTTGCTTCTAGTACGGTACATGGGCCCATTCTGAAGACTTGATGTCTTTTTAAAAAATATAATTATTTCTTATTATTTTTTAATTTGCTATAGGGCACATGTGCTTACCAAAGACAGACAGAGAGAGAGGGAAAGTGAGAAAGAAAGCTGCTGGATGCAGGACTTGAACCAAAGTCGACCAGCTGGGAGTCCAACACCTTAACCACAATGCCTCCTGCTGGACCCTCAGCATTTGAATTTTTAAAAAAAAACTATTTTATTTAACTTTATTTATTTATTTATTTTAATTTGACCAGAGAGGGATAGAGAAGAGAGAGAGAGTAAGTGAGAAAGCAAGCCACCAGGTCCGGGATACGAACCAAGTTGGGAATCCGGTGCTTTTAACCACCACGCCACCTGCCAGCCCTTCAGCATTTGAATTTAATCTCAGGCTGGGATTTCTTTGAAAGCCAGCAAAATGATCTATTGCCTGATCGAACTCCAGGAGGAAGTTAACAGGAACTAAAAGCAACAGGAAAAGAGGAAAATAAGCAGAAGCGAAGACAATTAAAAGGCATCACAACAGGGAACCAGCAGTTAGCGTAATGGCTATGTCGCTGGACTCCCACATAGTCGACCGCGGTTCGTGTCCCGGACCCGGTGGCTTAAAACTCACGCCGGGCGCGTGTGCGTGTGTGCCC